GAGCGATTACAATGGTTTATAGTAGGCCTAGAATAATCAGATATAAGATCATTACACAAAAGATCAGCAAAGAAACTTGGCCAAGAGTCAAAAAGCAAAATATCATTATCTTCTATATTGGTCCCTTTTTTTGCAGGTATGTCAGCAGAACTATTCAACTCCCGAGAACAAAAGTTAACTACGACTTTGTTGAAATGGTGCATCCAGAAGTCCTCAAGACGCGTTCGGAGGCTGTTGTGAGAAGCTTCCTTCCTGTTCAGACAAGAGATCAAGAAGGTTGAGTCAGTTTCAATAATAAGATTTTGCATATCAAGATCTTTAGCATATCTAACACCAGCGCATAATGCCCAAACTTTGGCTTTGTTATTGGATGCATATCCGATACTTTTGAAAAGTTCCATAATAAAATTACTTGTGTAATTTCTTATAATACCTCCAATACATGTCTTACCTGGGTTTTTAATCGACGAGCCATCAACATTTAATTTAAACCATCCCTCGGGAGGTGGTTGCCAGTTGATGTTCAAGTTTAATTGTTCTATTTTATGATGGTTTTAAGTAGGAATAAAGGAGGAAGAGGAGCTCCATATGAGATGAAGGTTAATCGGTTTCTTTTGAAAAAAAATCATACGAGCCTCCAATTAAGCCAAAAAATGGTTGCAGTTCGATTAGATGAAATTAAATCACTGGAGAGATGCTGAAATAAAGCACATAAGTGAATATTAAAGGAGTTGTTCTGGAATGGTAGCCTAATAAGAATATTTATGAAAACTTGGCATTTAGAAAAGATGTGAGGAGATGTTTCAGGCTCTTACAGACATAAAGAACATATATTAGAATCAATACATTTTTGTTTGGAGGGGAAATCAGCAGTAGAGAGGTAGTTATGCGCAAGTTTCCATAAGCAAAAGTTAATTCTATGACTAATTCTCAGATTCCAAATGGAATTCCAAGGAAGAGCGGGAAGTTGACTAAGTAATTTAGTAGACATAATTCAATTATATGCACTTTTCAAGGAGAATTCACCATTTCTTTTATGAGTCCATCTGATGGTATTAGAAATACCATGAAAAGGAATATGGTTAGCAAGGATTTTATTTTTAATAAACGTAGGGATAAGATGGAGGATATTAGACAAATCCCAAAATTTAATTCTACGGTTTATGAATTTCGAAACTTTGTACTCTGTCATATCAGTAGGGATATGGTCGACATAGTCAGCAATGATTAAATTATTGACCCATTTATCATCCCAAAAATTTATTTTATCACCACTAACAACAATCCAAAAACAATAGGGCTTAAGATCACTTATGGTTCTATGTATGTTTTTCCATAAGATACTTTGGTAAGGTTTAGGTTTTGCAGCATGGAAAAAACTTTTAGAGGAAGAGTCCATAAGGAGTCAAACTTTATGGAGAAAATGAAGGTTTTTTATACCAAGGCCTCCTAATGCTTTTGGTTGAAACACCGTTTTCCAGCTTATAGAATTTTTCTTGTTTGTATTAGGACTAGCATTTCAGATGAATTTTTGGCCAGTGACTCCACTTGGTTAATGGTAGACTCTTGAAGTTTGAAAGGGCTCATGGATTAATTAGGAATAGTATTTAAAAGATATTGAACGAGCGTCGATCTACCAGCGTGCGAGAGAAATTTATTGTACCAGTTGGAGATTCTGGTTTGGGTTTAAGGATGATATCGTAGAAAGTGGTATTTTGGGATTCGGTCAAAAATTAAAGGGAGACCAAGGTACTTTTCCCCAGCATTTACAGGTTTGATTCGAAGAAATTGGCAAATGTTTCGTTGAAGAGATCGAGGGGTATTTTCGGAGAAAAAAACTTTTGATTTATTCCAACAAATATTTAAACCTGATTCTCGGCAAAAGTTGAGAGCGTATCATGGATGAATTCAACAGATTTGGGATTAGTTTTAAAGAAAATAATGCAATCATCTGCAAAACAAAGGATAAGAATAGTAGGGCCATTTTGTTGGATTTGAAAAGCATCAAATTTAGAAGTATGACCTTCCAGAAATGCTAAAACGAGGAAATTAAGACACAAGATGAAAATATATGGGGATAACAGGTCGCCATGTCAAATACCACGTTAGGGCTTCTAGTAGCTAGAGGTGGACCCATTAATAGATAAACAAATAGATACAGATTCAATGCATGCCATTATCCATTCTATCATTTTGTTAGGGAAATTAACTTTTGTGAGAACCATTTGAATGAAATTCCATTCAATTTCGTCATAAGCTTTTTCATGGTCGATTTTAAGGATTATATGGAAAGCTTTCGATTTTTTCCTTTTCATAGAGGGAAGAAGCTCGTGTGCCATGATAACATTGTCACCAATGTGTCTTCTGGGGATAAAGGTGTTTTGGAATGAAGATATAAGATCATTGAGGAGGGGTCGGATACGATTTACAAGGATATTGAAAACGATTTTATACAAGACGTTACAAAGACTTATAGGGCGAAAATAATTAACCAAATAGGGGTTAGTAACTTTCGGAATCAAAAAAAAATTGTATTGTTTATAAATTGCGGAATATGGTTAGAGTCGAAAACTTTGAAAATCATGTTGTTAACAAAATTTCCAACACTCTCCCAATAGGTTTTGTAAAAATATCCATTTAACCTGTCAGGACCCGGGGATAATCAGACCCAATTCTAAAGAGAGCAGCTAGAATCTTTTCCACTGAAATAGTTTTAGTAAGAGATTCATGACTTATATCTGAGATTCTACCGCAGTTAATATTATAGAAAATACGTATAATAGAGTTGATGGAGTTATAGAGGGAAGTAAAGAAACTCATAAAAACGGATTGAATATCCTGAAATTCAAAAATCCATTCATTATTCTCCAGTTTTAAACATTGAATAAAATTTCTTCTTTTTCTATTAAAAGCAAATGCATGAGATTTTTTTGTATTATTATCTCCATCTTGAAGCCATTGAATTCATGATCTTCAAATCGCTTACACTGATCAGTTATTTAACTAGTTCAATATTCTCAGACTTAAGCATTAATCTCTTCTTAAAAAAAAAATCTATTGGCGCCAAATCTAACAACCTATGATGCACGGAAACTTCAACCCACAAGCGTTTCCATGTTTCGGAAACGTATCGGAACCGAAATTCCATGACGCCTGTCGGAAACGTTTCGGGGTTGTTTCCATAAATATTTAAAAGTTTTGGAGACGTTTCTGATAATAATAAAAAATTGAAAACGTGTTTCCACATAAAATAAATCCAAATTTTAGTTTAAATAAAAACTTCGAATTGGATACGCTTCAAAAAAAATCATAAATATTATGTCTCATTTTCACTTCTTGTGGTGTTTTAATATTTGTGTAGATGTTAATTCCATACTAAAATAAATTTATATGCCCCGAATGTAATTTGTGGAATGACATTAAATATTATAATATTTTTTTAGAAATTATGAATGCACCCCTATAATTTTTATTATTTACGCATTTCCCCACATTTCCGTATCCAACTTTTTGAAAAACAGATTATACCCGTGTCCGTTTTCCTATTATCCCGTGTCCGTGCTACATATCCAACAACTATGTAATCTCTAAAATTAGTATATCTCATTGCGCAACTATACTTTTAACGCATAAAATAATTTAATGGGAAAATTTTGTGAATACCATCAAATATTCCACTCTTTTTAAACCATTCTTTTTCTTATTCCACCCATACGACGTAGTATTATCACCTTCTCCATTACCCCAAATCGGTAAATTAAAAGGTTGTGTTATAATTCGTTTGGAGGGTAAATGTGAGGGCAGGTAATGGATTAAGGATTTTGAATTAAAAAAGGGTATATTACAACCACCCCTAGCGTATGGTCAAATTACGAAAATCCCCCTCCTCTTTAGGTAATTACAACCACCCATCAACTATTAATATTCTTACACATCCACCCTTAGGGATGGCAATGGGTACGGGTTTGGCGGGTCTTGGACCCGGAACCGACCCGTTTGGGGCGGGTCTGGGTCAGTTAAATGGTTCTGGGTCGGGTAATGGGTTTAAGTTTCTAGAACCGGATGGTTCTGGGTCGAGTTATGGGTCTTATTGGAACCGACCCGTATATATATATATATATATATATATATATATATATATATATATATATATATATAAATATAATTTCGAGTTTCATTTATCAAACTATCAATTTTCCATCTTGTCTATTCTCATTTACCTATTTTGCACTATTTTATTTTTCGAATCTCATTTCTCGTGAGTAATATTTATCACTTGTCGACCACCGCTAATTGTCTTGCATTTTGAATTTTACTTATTATCAAAGTTAAATATAATTAATTGTACTTTTATTGTTCATGTTATGTCACTTGTAGAGATTTTTTAAAATATTGTATTTTAGTATTGAAATTATTTCGTAAAAATATACAAGCAAAATATTATGAAAGTTAAAAAATATTAGACTTTTTGTACGTTAATGGGTCTAGCGGGTCTGGCGGGTTGGAACCGTTTAGTTAGGGTTTGGGTTGGGGCGGATCTGGGTCTAAGCTAAAGCGGGTTGGGGCGGGTCTTGGATTTATATATTTTTCGTGGGTCGGGTCTTGGGTTTAGGCAAACCCGGCCCAGAACCGACCCGTTGCCATCCCTATCCACCCTTACGGTTTCAAATTTAGTGAAATCTTCGAGATTATATGAAATATTATCAAATTTATACCCATTTTATCCCATTTGAACTCCACATTTTGAAGCAAGATGATCATAATATGTGTTTATTGGCTTGTATAATTAGATTGTGGTGCATCAGAAACTGTATTTTTACACAAAACGAGTACAAACTAAAGCACATTCCACAAAATCTAGATCATTATGTTGAATTTGACACCATAATGGTAGGGGTGTAAATAAAAATCCAAACAAGAGGAATTTTTTCGTAAATTGACCATACATCAGGGGGTGGTTGTAATTTACCCATTCAAATTGATGGTGAAAAATGAGGAAGGTGGTGAAGAAAGAGTTTTTGCAGGTGGAAATAGACAAATAGTACAACTCATAGAAATCCCTAAAATAAGCTTCAACAGTAATTAACATCAACCTGACCTCCTTACGATGAACAAAGTACAATATGCCAAAGCACGATCGACAACACTATCAAAATATCATATCCTCGTCATATTCATACGAGTAAAACTCTATACTTTCATGCTAAAGCAGAAATGAACTTTAAGATCCTTGACTGCGCCCTTTCTCTCTCTTCCGGCCCATCAAGATCGCCAATATTGTCATGATATTCCTGCGATTCACCCACAAGCATTACCAGATTATGATATCAGACTATAAATATATATATATATATATATATATATATATATATATATATATATATATATATATATATATATATATATATATATATATATATATATATATATATATATATATATATATATATATATATATATATATTGGAAAATTCATTGTCGAGTTTCTACATTCACCGCAGAATTAAGTAAACGTTTGCCTCAAGAAACTCTGACTAGAATATCAGTTATCTGCTTCGTGTGTACAAAGTTGGAGTTATGGCGTGCATAGTCTACCCCACCCCCACCCCCACCCCCACCCCAAACAACAAACACAAGAAAAGACCGTTTGGGCCAGCCAGAATATAACCACCTTTACCATACCACAAAGTATCAAAAACCAAATGCAATATATAATTATATATGTAATTTTAATCAAACTTGTATTCAAAAGTCGAACAAAAACTGTCCTGTTCGTCCTCCATCCCATTTCCCCAACCTTTCTTTTTGGTTCAATGATCGTGGGAGCCAGTTCAGAAAGCACAATTTGTGGAAAAATTGGAAAGACGTGAAATTAAGAGAAATATTCAACAGACCCATGTGTACTATTTGATTCAAATATCATATTTATAAGCTTACGGCAATTAGCTTCAGCACAAACTTCAAAACTGGAAAAGGGATGCATGGAGAGGAATATAGAAGTCAAAGTTGCTATTTTATTAAAAAATAAACGAGAGGCTATATATTTTACCTGAAGTACATCCTTAACGTCCTTCTTAGTTAGCTTCTGCTGCTTCAATAACAGTTCAATTCTTGCTCTCATCCGAGTATGCCTAGAAAAGACAACAACACAAATTAGATATCAAAGCACTATAAAATACACCGGCTTCAAAACATCTACACGTTTATTGAGATTAGCCAGACTTACTCGGAGGTCCAAAGATGTCCCAGAATAACAGCAATTAACTGCAGAAAATACAGAATGATTCAACCACAAGAATTAAGCATACGAAGTTGAAAAGATTAATAATTAAAAGATCAGGGAAAATACCTGGAGTGTATAAAGTCCAGAGTCTAGCTTCCTATTATATTTCTCATCTTCATCAAGCTGCAAAAACGACAAATATGAATAAGATTTAGAAACGATAATTTTAATTTTCCGAAGTTGTTGCAAGTGGCAGTAATGATATGAAAGAAAGAATTGAAATATTAATTAACCTCGAGATCATCAAATTCAATCTGATCAATCCTTTCAGTCTCAGCTCTTACTCTGTTGGAATACCTGTAACAATAGCAGCGATAAAAGTGATCGGACTACAACATCAGTCTCGGCGAAAGAAAAATAAATATCAAATTCAAAGCGTTAAGGTTTCTAAATGAATGAGGGTCGTGCACGAGTAATGACCTCATGTATAGTTCCATTAGTCGATCAATCTTTTCGCACTCGTTCTCCACAAATTTACTTAACAATCTTTCCCTTCTAGAACCCCTCAAAATTCCACCTGGTGAACAATAGCAACGGCATCAGTACAGGCATATTATAATAAGTATGTAAAATGCCACCATGCAACATTTATCGACTATAACACAAACAGACTTCGGTAATAAAGTTATACCAATATACATAATTCCACAAAAACATAAGCAATATGACTTGATCGTGCATTAGCCTGATTTTTAATAGAGAAACAAGAGGTTGAGAAGTAATATTTCAATCTTCTTTTCTGGGAAAACAGCAAGACCAGCAAAATTGATTGATTGTGTACCACATAGTATAATTCCGCTCACATTCCGCAGAGAGGAACAAAATCAAAGCTGAATAAATAAATTCCACATGACGTACATACGTATCCTGATATCAATAATAAATCTCGATGGCATAAGATAAGAAAAAGTAGTCCAAAGGGAACTTGCCTCCTTACCAAATAGTGATGCAATTAGTGATATGAGACCCTCTTCGAATTCTTCTTTCTGGAACTTTTTCTTGTTCTTCTTGCTGAGAGGTACCTACAACGCAAAAGATTAAAAAAGAAAAAAAAATTAGACAAAGGTTCAGAACTAATTAAAGATACACAATTATATCATAAAAATTACAGCCACAATTCTTTTTATTTCAAAACTACTCCACAAAGCTCAGAAACCACATTGCCCACAATTTCGTCAGTGTAACTAAATTCAATTTTGTTTCCCAATTCCAAGCATCAACAATGATTTTTATTTTCAGTCAGCATAATATTTCTTTAATGTATCTTAAAGAAGCCACCGATTATTATCCATTAACGAAAAGCACTAATTCGCTAATTAGTCTCACCGATTGCTACTTAAGATAAGGGGGCTTAACTTGCCTTACCCATAAAAGCAGGGAATGCCGTCTTTAACCCCATTACATCAACAAACCGCTCGCAAGCTGGCGGATAACTCGTCATGGCAAAATCTAAAGCCTTAATAGCGGACCCGTAACACAATTTCTTCTGATTCATAATAATAATCATCAACTCAACCCCTTCCGCCTTCACAAACCTCTCCTTATTTTCCAACGGCATCAACACGCAACACAAACAATCGAACAAATTTTCCACCATCTCCTCTTCATCCCCTGTTTTCGGGTCCTTCGATTTGTACATCGCCACAGCCTGCAACAAAGTATCCACGCCATTCATCTGACCGAACCTCTTCTGATTAGCCGCACTGTTCTGCAACAAAATCGCCAGGATTTCAGAAGCGTACTGCTTGTTACTATCGAACTCGCGAACCTTGATTCGAGCCTGAAGCCATTTCAACAACTTGGTCTTCTCGCAGACGAGCTCGGAAACAGAAGGCTTCACCTCGATGAGATTCTCGATGGTGGAGAGCGTGTTGTAAATTGCTGCGGATTCATCTGGATCGGAGTCGCTCAACCTGGATAAATTCTGGACAAGCAATTCCACCGCACTGTTCTCCACGAGGGCGTCGACGAGAACCAGAGCCGAATCTTCATTATCCTCGATGACGTCAGCATCGGTGAGGTCCTGTAAGAGGGTGACGGCATCAATGGCAATGTCGGTGTTGTCGTGGTTGAGGAGACCGGTGATCGAGTTGACGGTTCCGATGCTGACGAGGTCAGGGTAGAGCTCCGGCGCCCCTGCGAGGATTTTCAGCTGCTGGAGCTCATCGTGCAGCTCGAGTTCGGAGTCGGCGAATTTGTCGGGATTGTCTGGGTACTTGAGGCGGGCGGCGGTGTTGGAGTTGAGGCGGCGCTCCAGGGAGAGAGCGAGCTTCTTCAGGGTTTTCAAGTCGAGGGTTTCGATAACTTTTATCTGGGATTTCTCGATGGCCTCGAGGAGGGAGAGGTCTATGGGGGCGGCGGAGAGTGGAAACGACGGCGGCGGAGGAGAGGAAGACCGTTTCCGTTTCTGAGGAGGGGGGAGATTCATCTCGCCGGCGTTTTGGTTCAGATTGTTTCTCCGACGGAAAATGTGTGAGGAAGCCCTAATTTAATTCGGCGGAAATGATTGTAGGAATTTGGGTATTTTTCTTCTTCCTTCGTTCTTTTTTTTTTTTCTTTAAAAGTTGGGGCGGTTTTTTTTCTAGTGCTTGTTTTGTAAATTATTAAACAAAATGGGGTTGTTTTGGAGTGTGTAAACAAAGTAGGGTTTGTCGCCACGCGGCCTGGCGACTCCAATTAGTGCCGCCACGTGGCGTGGCGACTCCAACTATTTCTGCCACGCGGCGCGGCGACTCCAACAACAGTCTTTTTTTTCTTTTTTTTTTTTATTCGTTTTTTTCAAAATTTTTTATAATGTTAGAAAAAACATTAAAAAAATGTATCTATGTCCATCACTACTCCCACATGCAAGACTTTTTTATGATATTTTATTTTGTAGAACTTTTTTTATTGTTTTGACAATATTTATTTTGTATGACTATTTTATTTGGTAAAACTCTATTTATTTATTGTTTATGTATTTTTAAAGTTGTACATTTTTGTATTGCGTGAATTAGATGATTGAGAATTTTACATGCTCATAAATAAATTTTCTTTATGTTTTTTCTAACATTACATTTTTTTTAGAAAAAAAAACGGACATAGGTAGTGACTTTTGTTCTAACAGGAGGACTAGACGACCACCTGCATGTGAGACTGGTGGACATAGGCAGTCACTTTTTTATGACATTTTATTTTGTAGAACTTTTTTTTATTGTTTTGACAATATTTATTTGGTAAAACTCCCTTTATTTATTGTTTACGTATTTTTAAAGTTGTACATTCTTTTATTGCGTGAATTAGATGATTGAGAAATTTACATGCTCATAAATACATTTTTTTATGTTTTTTCTAACATTACAATTTTTTTTGAAAAAAACGAAAAAAAAAAAAAAAAAAAGACTGCTGTTGGAGTCGCCACGCCGCGTGGCAGAAATAGTTGGAGTCGCCACGCCGCGTGGCGGCACTAAATGGAGTCGCCAGACCACGTGGCGACAAACCCTATTTTGTTTATACTTTTCAAAATAACCCCATTTTGTTTACTAATTTGAAAAACAACCCTAGAAAAAAAACTGTCCCTTAAAAGTTAGACCTTATAAATTGAAGGGCACGTCAGTGAATAAATCTAAATTTCTATTTTAACTGCATTTAAATTTAAATTACTCTTTTTAGCTAATTCTTTTTGGGGCAATATGGGGATAATTACAATTTGGTCCCTATATTATACTTGTTTTTAATTTGGTCCTTAAATTGTTTTTGGTACGGAATTGATCCTCAAATAACAAGTTTTTTTACGATTTCCGTCCTCCACGATGTGACAATGCACAGGTTTTGTAGGAATTATTACATTGTATATTATTCACAAATATTATTTATTTTTTTATTTTTTTATTTTAATCGAGAACACTATAACTAGTTTGAAAATTTTATTAAAAACTATTTATTTTGCTATTTTATTATTTTAATCGAAAACACTATAAAGGCTTAAGGGACAAGTATTTGATGGAGAAATGTAAATCGTGGTAACTCAATGGCCCGCGGACCTGGTGCCCACAAGGAACCAATTCTCATTGGAGTTGAAATTCCCACATTGCGGCTTCCAGGATTCGATCCTAGGACCTTGCACCAACTTACCACCTCCGGAACCAGTTGAGCTAAATTTAATTATACCAAATTCTACTAAGAGTTGTTTTTTTATTTTTGTATAAATATAATTTATCTTATTATTTTGTAATTATTAAAAATCAATAATATGTAAAGAATAATTGAACATATATTATAATTTTAGAAATATTGTTTTAGTCCTTTATACAATAAAATCAATTTTGCCTAATCTTATACATTTTTTATGGTATTTTTTATTATTCTTTAATAAAAAGAATTAATATTATTTTAATTATAAATAAACCCGATGGCGTCCATGGCGGCTGGAGAGGGATTGGTCGTTGATGGCTCGGCGGTGAAGTGGAAATGGCAGACGACGCGGGCCATTCAGAATAAATTCTTGGGGATTTGATATTTTTTGGACAAATTTGTAATAATAAAGTTAAATTTGAGCTAAATTAGACATAGAGGTACGAAAGGGGGTAGAAGTGCATGCCCACGAGCTAAACACATGCTTTTTCCCGTCCAAATTACCACACAAATCAGACGGTGGACGGAAATTAAAACAAACCGGTTATTTGAGGACCAATTTCGTTCTAGAAAAAATTGAAGGACCAATATCGAAAAAGATGTATAATATAAGGGTCAAGACTGTAATTATCTCGGCAATGTGCTATACGTTTCATACTCTAATTTCATGTGGTTAAATCCACTTACCCCTTTTAATTATTGAAACGCAAAAATAATGGAAAATCAGGAGCACCCGTCTCACTTAGGGTTCCTTCGATGCTACATCCGGTGAAAAACACCAGATGGGTCTTCTGCTGCCACGTGTTCTTTTTTTTTTATTTTTCTAAAACCCCTAAAGGTAAACCCTAGCGGGGAATCTATTATAAAATACAAAAAAGAGACACGTGGCAGCAGAAGACCCACCCGGTATTTTTCACCGGGTGTAGGGTCGAACAAATCCTCACTTAGGAATATAATGTGAGTAGACCCCCCTTAAAATAATAATTTGAGAAAACTACTTTAGATATTAGCTTGATTAATCAATAGAAGTAAACTGCCCATATAAGACTTAATCATTTAGAGCAACACCAATGGAGTTATTAAATGGGATATCAAAACTCTTAACTACCATTTTGATAATTGAAATTAGAAATTTTCCACTCCAATGGAGTTATCAAATGAGTTTCTATTTTGATATTTTAATTTTTAGGATGTAAAAATACATCCAGAAGAAATAATACCAATTGGAAGTTACATAACTTAACCATCTTAATAACCAATTAGAAAATGACATGTGTTAATTAAAATATATAATCACATTATTTATTTTTAATTATGAACTATTTGATAACTATGGTTGGAGCAAATAAATTTATTTAGTTATCAAAGTAAAATATAAAATATCAAATAAATATTTGATAATTCATTTTGATATTTATGAGTTGGAGTTGCTCTTAAAATAGACTTGACCCTAACTTCTCACTTCTCCCATTTACTACGCAATTCTCTTTGCTCTCTTTTTCTCTCATTGAAAAAATTCACTCTCTTCCCATCTCTTCTCTCTCCCTCTTTATCAAATCAGATCGAGGATGGCTAGGGCTAAGATCGCAATTGCTCGTGGTGGTCGGCGACGGCCGACGAGGATGATGTTTTTTCGTCGCATGTTGCCGGAACGAGTGCGAGGAAGATGGCATTTTTTGTCGCGTGTTGTCGGGACGAGTGCGAGGAAGATGGCTTTTCATCGATTATTACCGGAATGGGGTTGCAGAGAAAATGAAGATACGAATCAGAGTAGTCCAAAGAAGAAAAGGTATAATACAATATTGACGGTATGGTATGGTGACGGTGGTGGGGGTGGTGATGGTGGTGTGGCGACTGTGTGGTAACGATGGAGAGGCATATCTAGGTTTTTTGGGTAGATCGGGTGAGGACGGAGTGGGCAGAGAAAATTTGCGCATGTTAGATCCGTAATCGACTATGCTATGTAGTCAATTAAGGTTAATCGTTAAGTTTTTTAATTCATTTTTGAATTTTTTGTTATTGATTCCCTATTTTGCAACATGTAGTCGAACTTGGGGCATAATTGTAGTGTGTTTTTGTTCTGTCATTGTCAATCCATCATTCGATTTTTATAAATCAATACATTTTCCGTATATTTGTTGTTTTGTAAAAAATAGATGATTTTCATTTTATTTTATTTTTTGTAGTTGTTTTTGTTATTTGTTTCAGTTAGTATTTGTTTGAATTTTTTTTTTGGTTGAATCTTGGGTTTCATTGACGGTATTACGGTTGTTTTTGTTACATTTAGTAGTCAATTTCATTATTCAGCAAAGATTATAGTAGTCAGCTCCTTAATCGACTATACATTAGTTGATAACTTGCTAGACGATTAATACATCTGACAGCGAATTTTGTAAAAACAAAAACGAGAAAATAATTTCAAAATTAATAAAAAAAATGAAAAAATAGAAAATAGAAAATAAAAAACGAAAATTAATTAAAAAAAACGAAAATGGGGATGGGAGTAGTTGGAAGAAGATAATGAAGGGCAATTTTGTGATTAGAGAAAAGGTGAAAGGAACATGGGTTTATCTCAAAGAGTGAATGGATTGGACTTCTCTCTAATCTCTATTAATTGAAGGTTTGGGGGTTTTTTATCCAAGAGCCCCTAAAAAATAATTTTGATAATAATATATAAAGGACATCAATACCCGTAATTAAAAAAATGGGTTAATTAGGAGAAGAACCTCCTCAATGCTATAATATGTGAATCTAAGTATTTTGTGGTCTATTTAGATATTCCGTATTTTTGGGAATTTTGGCAAAAGAAAGTGAGTTTTTAAGATTTTTGAGGTTGCATGTGTAGATCTATGAATCTTAAGGGCTAGTCTGCAATTTCTCAAAATTTCATCTTGAAAAATGTTTGAATCTTCAAATTTAAGTAGGCAGCAAGTGGAATTTTGTTTATTCAACATTGCTCATAGTTTGGAGTTAGTAATTTGTAGAAAATCACTATTTGGCTAAAACACCACTTGCCTAGTATTTTAATTTTAAAAAATTCGATTTCTAATGAAATTGCAAAATTCTTTTTGAATCTGGATATTTAGTCAGATAAAGTCCTGTAATTAAATTTTAGAATTTTTGGAACTCGTTTACTATTATTTGGAAATATTTGTTCTGCATGTGTCATAAATGAAACTTTTGTGCTTTAATGATTGTGTTTTGAGTTTCTTAACAAATTAATAATGGGAATATAAATTTAGTGCTTAAAACTCTGGAGCTGATCTATGTTAAGGGGCTGTAAGAATTTTGTGTCAATAATTAATGAATAAAAGTGGAAGAAATCCCATTAATAGAGGAATAAAGATGTTACTTAAGGGCATGATTTGATTGATTAAATGCTCCTCTTAATTGTGTTTTGGGGCTGCATGGCTTATGTGTGTTGTGATGTGTGATAGTGTGTGTACGATTTATGATAAAATACATACTATCTAGGATATGATACTTCAATAATTATGTGATATGCTTGAATTCATATAAATGTATATGTTAGTCGAAAGGTTACTTTCGAATGTGATGATTTACAAACAATTGATTTGATCTAATAGTCTTTCTTTAAGTCATATTTTTATTAGACAAATTAATCAAGGCGGAATTAATCAAGACTAGAGTGACAGAATCCATAAGAGGCCTAGTATCCTTGAACTATCCCGAGAACGAGATCCGAACGATCCTCCATACGGCTTTCTAGTCTTGGTCCCAATTCTTCTTTCTTAGATCAAATAATAAGCCCAGTTTATTTGGTCTTTATTTTCGAAAATTAGCCCTTTATAAAATGATAATTTATTTTCAAAAATAAATCTATAAGATTTTTTGTTATTCAGCCTAATATAGATTTTGGAGGCAAAAGGTTTTTTGAAATTCAAGATCTTCTATCTTTGGAAAATGGTTTAATATTCAAAATTATTTGAATTGTTTGGAAAACGTTTTTTCATTGATTTAAACTGATTGAGAATCATATTTTCGAACTTGGAAAGATTTAAATCAATCCTCAATCAAAGATTCAAAAAATATAAGTTGTCCGGAAGTTAGATAGTCTGCCCCGGAAGTTGCTGAAGCTGGCTGGAAGATGCTTTGCTGAAAATTGTTTTTCAAGAAAGAACGCTCATTTTGAGTTTCAAAATTCAAATGCTTACCATATTCAAGTAATTTAATTGATCTCAATCAGCTGGAGATCAATCATACTCATCATCTAATCAATCAAAAGATTAAAGATTGATGCTTTTCTTTCTAGAGATGAAGAGCTTCACCTATAAATAGTGGATCATTCATTCAAGCTTCATTCATTCCAAGCCAATTTCGAAAAGATCTTATAGAGAGTCATTTATTTATTAGAAAATTCGAAGTTCTCCTCTTTCTTATCATTTTTTTCATTATATATCTTGAGAGGGATTTTGTAAAGCTCTTAGAGAGCATTTCTTTGTTGTGAGTTTTTTTTGTTGAGTGCGAAAGAGTAAGTCTCTTGTAAGCACGTCGTTGGTGCGAAAGTTGTTAGAGTCTTGTAAGCACATCGTTTTCGTGTGGAGGATCCAAGGATCTTGGAGGCACGTGGAATAAAAGTTCGAGGGCCTAGAAGAGTGGAGTAGGGGAATTTCTCCGAACCACTATAAATTTGGTGTCATTTACTTTACGCACTTTATTATATCGTATTCAAATTTCCGCACTCATATATTGTTTATTGCTAAAACTTTATTCGGCGTTAATTTGGAAATTTACAAAATATTTATTACTTGAAATATTTTATTATCAAAGAAATTTTTTGTTTTTCTAGAAATAGTTTAATTGGTATCTAAATCTGCAAAAATATTAAAAATTTTGAAAAGCCTAATTCAACCCCCCACCCCACCCCCCACCCCACCCCTAGGAATATTTAATCTCTCAGTATAGATATGTGTGTGTGTGTGTGTGTGTGTGTGTGTGTGTTATGTGTGTGACTGCCGTATGTATGTGTATAATTGTATATGAGAATAATTGTCGTGTGTCCGAATATTCGTGAATTTATCGTTGATTAATATTCGTGATGTCGTAAAATGGCCAGTCTTCATCAATCTCATGGTCATGCATAAAATGATTTCATTTAAAAAAACAAAAGATTAATGGAATGCTTGGGTTGGATGAGTCGGGATACATAGGGCCGGTATTCCAACCATAGATACGATAGTAAACGGGGTGGTTTGATTCCACCAAAAGAACGGGCTCATTTTAATATGCTTATCATCAAGTAAAGAAGTTAATTGTTCACGGATCCGAACAACAAAAAAAAATTCATTCATGCATTTGCACGAAAGGTTAATTTGGTATTTTTTGTTATTTGAGTAATTTACCTGTTTGATTTAATTGAGTGTTTCTATGTGTTCGTTTGACGACGAATGGTAAGGTGTGATATCTATGTGTATATATGTATATAAGTACGTAAAACATATTTTAAATCCTTGTTATTCATTCCGATTTCTTACTGGGCTTAATAGCTCATATAGATACTTTTTAATTGCAGGTAGTAGTAGTAATCCCTCGCCAAAAGGGATCGAATTGGATCGAAGTCTCGCCCGGGGTTTTTGACGATCGTAGGGGGGTCTATAAATTATGCTAGTGTTATTTTGGTGATGTAAACTAAAGACAATTTCCTAATTTCCGTTCTTCTAAATTATCGTATTTCCTCGTTTGGGGAAATGAACTCTTGTTTCGGTACGGGCTTCATTTTGAAACTTTAATATACTTGGTCCGTTTATTCTAGTAACTACTATTCTTGCTCAAAATCTTTATTTCACCAAATATTTTTCCCAAAACTCTGATTTTCATTCGAACCTCTTTTAAATCTGAAAATGGCTTTCTTGACAAAGTTTAGCACTCGAAAATCACTCTCTTACGAAAACAAAATTTCCGATTTTTATGAAAGAAGATTTCGAAAAAAGAATAATCGATATCGATCATTCCTTCACCATTTAAAAAGGGACTTGTAAATTTATAGGAGAAAAATGTTTTAAAATTTTCAAAGTCAATATGATTATAAAATAAAAGGATCTTTTGCTTTCTCTATACTCAATCCGATAAACCGAGTTCGATTTATCGCCCTATAAGATGGGGGATGCTACACGTATGCGTGCATATAATTTAATAAATTACTAATCGGAAATATATATGTCGTGCATTGCACGAGTGAAGTTACTAATTGAAACACGATGTTTACATAAAATTTTTAAATATCTTTTGACGTATAATGAATTTTTTAAGTAAATTGATTTAACTTTTGCATTATTCTTTTTCAATTTCGTGCATCTCACGAATGAAGTTATTAGTTAATTGTTGTGAGTATTTGTAGTATGTAGATATTTAAATTTTCAAAGAGTCTTTCAAGGGGGAAAAAAAGTTATGTGCAAAATAGTCAAGCCAGAGTGATTAGGGATGGCAATTTGACCCGCCCCAAAATTTTCGGGTATTACCCGCCCCGGTAAAAAAATGGGGTGAGTATGGGGATTAATTTTTTTTCTACCGGGTACGGGTACGGAGACGGTTTTTCCTATACCCGCCCCATTGTCATCCCTAACAGTGGTTAAGGTTAAATGTTAGTTATCAAAAATTCACTTATGAGGTTATTTCAAATTACACCTAGAATCCCTAATATTTGGAAAATTACATATACTTCTTTTGAGGTTCAGTTCCATTCAACAATTTACCCCATTTGACGATTAATTAACCAAAAAATGATAACGTCGACAAATTTTTTTTTTTTTTTTATTATAATTCTTTTCTTACTCTTAAACAAATACTTGTATACTTTATCATCAATGTACTTTTAGCTCTAAAAACAGAATAATAAACTGAAACTTAATTGTTTATGCAAAGAGAAATTATAATTCGTTTCTTTTTTTTAGATGGAATATCAAACTCAAAAATCATAGTTTTTATATTTTTTATCAAAATAAAAAAAAAGCATTATTACGAGGATAAAATTGTCAATTGTTGAACTTGTGGATGAAACCAAACGTGAAAGGTATACATAATTTCCCAAACATGAAGGGGTCTATTTGTAATTTAATATAACCTTAGGGACGTAAGTGTAATTTACCCAAATCTACCCGCATCACTATTCAGCATCACTCTAAGCTCAGTAGAGGATCACTCTCAAATTTGCTGCCACAAGTGCCCCACGCACACACACACACACGCACACACAGTCAACCACGAGAAACAAAACAAACTGCAAAAACGATCTTCATCAATCTTCACTTGTAAAAGAAGATTAGATGGCAGACCAGAAAAGGGTCCTTCTACTATGCGGAGATTACGTCGAGGATTACGAGGTGCAGATTGTTTAATTCGGTTTTTGTTTTTTCATTCTTTCAACCGATTTACACGATTGCAGACAAAGTGTTCGATGAATTGACTGGGAAAGATTTTTTGTTAGGTGATGGTTCCTTTTCAAGCATTGTCGGCGTATGGACTGTCCGTTGACGCCGTTTGCCCCGGGAAGAAAGCTGGTGACTTTTGCCGAACTGCGATTCATGATTCTCTTGGCCACCAGGTTTATATAATGATCAAATTTTGTTATTAAATTAATCCCAAAGTGTCTGCTTTAATTCGCTGTTTGCATTTATTTATTTTGTTTTGTCTGATTTTAATTGATTTATTATGCTAGTTGGATTAGATTTAAGTTCGAAAATGTTGCTCTGTTCCTTCTGCTGAAGTTATTTGAATTGGATTAAGTGTGGGGTCAATAACTCATAAGGGAATTGAATAAATGTAATATCTTTGTCAACTGGGAAAACAAATAAGTTTAAATTCTTTGTGTCTTTGGTGGGGATTGGCGAAAGTTTGTTTTATCAAATTTAGTTGCCGTTTAAATAATCTTGTTTTTGGCTGGGCAATTTGATCACATTGACTTCTGAAGTTCTTCGTTTTTATCTATCATGTTCTGAAGTGAAAATAATGACCATGTTTTACAATGATCATTCTGTTTTTCGATATTTTTATTCGTCCTAGTTTTTATGATGGGAAGTGAAAATCGAAGTAGTTTGATTTTCCGAAACGAGGTAGATCTTCTGCAGATTCGAGAAAGGATCAAATGTAGAATTAACTGAGCAGTTTTGTATGTCGGGAGCAACTTGCATTGTGTTAATTGTACATCATATACGATCTATACATTATATGCACATAGAAGATATGAAATATAAGAGTATAATGAGCTGAACAGTTATCTTGTATAGTTTACGTGTGTTTCGAGCAAGGTAGTTAAAATCGAGATTTAAATCGAAGAATCGTAAGATTATAAGATTTTACTCCCTTACAAATATACAAATCGTAGTGACATTGCAAGTCCCTTAAAATCAGCTGAAATCGGGAGTAAAATCAGTAAAATTGATAAAATCGCAATTTTTTTTTTGCGATTTTCACGATTTCAATTGTAGTCAAAATGTAGTCAAAATTTGGACCTCAGTCCCTGATTTTTAACTATAAATTTAGAAAGCGCATTATCTAATAAACCCTAATTTGCCCTTTACTAACATTCCGTCGTGATCTGGGAAGAGGATATTTTATTAGACTATGTTTAAGTTATGTTAAAACATGTTTTGTTAATGTCGGGATATTTTATTTTTTCGGGACATATTTATGTATGTTATGACTTGTTTTATTTGTGTTAGGACATGTTTCATAAGTACTATATATATGCATGTATCATTCAACAAGGCACAAGTCTTGAAACCAAGAACCATGTGCTATTAGTTTTACAATATATGCGAAATCTTACGATTTTACTACCCCTCTCCGATTCAACTCAAAATCCTGATTTTGACTACCTTGGTTTCAAGACTTGTGCCTTGTTGAATGATACAAAACCATAGACTTGCATTGTTTCAACTGTATAAATTATAAACTGCCGAAATGTCTTACCTTAGTGAAAGTCAGTGCTCCTATTTGGATGTCCTTTCATTGGATTACATGTCATCGCTTGCATGTATGTCCGAATTCGTGTTTCTATTTAAGACAATGCCAATAGAGTAGAGCTGTAACATTATTTGATTCTTTATTTTTTTTCTTACATCATCTTTTCTTGTTTGAACAAATGGATGCAGACATATTCCGAGTCGAGGGGGCATAACTTTGTCCTAAACGCAACTTTCGATGAAATAGATGCCACCAAATACGACGGACTTATCATACCAGGGGGGCGTGCCCCTGAGTATCTTGCTATGATTGAATCTGTTACGGATTTAGTTAAGAAATTCGAACACTCGCAAAAGCCGATTGCATCCATTTGCCACGGACAATTGATCTTGGCAGCTGCTGGTTCGGTCAAAGGCAAAAAGTGCACTGCTTATCCAGCTGTCAAACCTGTGCTCGTTGCTGCTGGGGCCCACTGGGTGGAACCAGAGACAACGGCCTATTGCACGAGTGATGGGAATCTCATAACTGGAGCTACATACGATGGGCATCCCGAGTTTATTCGGCTTTTTATTAAGGCATTGGGAGCAAAGATATCTGGTTCTGGCAAACGAATTCTATTTCTTTGTGGAGTAAGTTTTAATGACTTCTAAGTAGATTCATAATTTGCATGTCGTAAAAGATGATAGTCGATTTCCAATTATTTCGAAAGTGAGAAATCAAAGTTAAAATAAAAGCTGTAAATTTCTCTTGGAAGTCTCCTACCTTTTTATTCGATTAATCTATTGTCACATATAATTTTTTGTGTAAATTACAAGAAAACCCCAAAACTATGGTCGAATTACGAAAAAAAAACCCGTCACATATTTATAATTACAAAAAAAAGGGCAAATTATTACATAAATATTTTGGAGATTTACTCATGCATGGGGTTAATTTCTTTTGTCGTTTGTGGAGCAGGATTACATGGAAGATTACGAAGTGATGGTTCCGTTTCAGTCTCTTGAAGCTCTAGAGTGTCGTGTAGATGCAGTTTGCCCGGGGAAGCGAGCGGGTGATAAATGCCCAACGGCAGTACACGACTTTGAAGGTGACCAAACATATAGCGAAAAGCCAGGTCACAACTTCACTTTAACTGCCGATTTTGAAGGCATAGATGCCTCAAGCTATGATGGGCTGGTAATACCAGGTGGCCGTGCTCCAGAGTACTTGGCGCTAAATGATAATGTTATCAAATTAGTAAAGGAATTTATGGAATCGGGAAAACCGGTGGCATCTATATGCCACGGTCAACAGATTTTATCCGCTGCTGGTCTATTGAAGGTTAGCTTTTCTTCCCTATTTATAAATATGTGTGTGTGTGTGACTGCGTGTGTATATATATATATATATATATATATATATATATATATATATATATATATATATATATATATATATATATCAATGTTTCGACTTCCGATACATGTTCAAAATGTACTGTACCTAAAATTGCGGCTAAAAATAGGAGTTAACGGAAATAGGTACTTTTCGTTATCTCCTAAAATAAATCTTAATAGCTATAGGAGTCTTTATCTTTATGATATAATAAAGGGTAAATTACGAAAACCCCCCTGAACTTAGGCTAAATAATGAAAACACCCACACCTATCCGTAATAACCAAAATCCCCCTCTGATTAACTGTTGATCGAGTTTTTTTAACAGAAAATGTGTACATGCTATTATACCTCCGGTTAAATAGGTGAGAAATAAAAGAAAATATCTGAAATTGTGTAATTAAAAAGTCTATTCCCCGGGATCAAAAGAAATCCGTGAAAAGTCACACTGTAAGGGGTTTTGTAAGGGGGTTGGTATAAGACGGAAACAAACCTCAGGAGATTTTTGGTAATTATGAATAGGGGGGGGGGGGGGGTGTTTGTAATTTACCCTATAATAAACTGGAAATATGTTTTGTGATATATGTCTCTATCTTGGTTCTTGAAATGCATACAAACTTCAATAATGTGTCTGGTAAAATAATAATAACGCTAATAATAATAATTGCAGGGGAAGAAGTGCACTGCATACCCGGCAGTGAAACTTAATGTGGTTCTAGGTGGGGCCACATGGTTAGAGCCTGATCCGATCCATCGTTGCTTTACCGACGGAAATCTGGTTACCGGAGCAGCATGGCCGGGTCATCCTGAATTCATAGCTCAATTTATGGCTCTTCTCGGACTCACTGTATCTTTCTAATTATGTTTCTTTTGTGTCTGTATGTTATATGGTAAGAATAAAGATACATGGTATTTTGTACCCATATCATGTGATTCTGTTTCTGGTCCCTGTAGTTTGTGAGTTACACTTGTTGACTCAGGTTTTCGAGTTTTTTGGTGTACCAGAGTGTAAAATTGTCTGAATGTAATGGAATTTTTAACGGTTGAGATTCACTTAGAGATTTTTTTTATGGCTAAGAGACGATGTAAAGAATAAAAGCAATGAGTGAAATTCGATCCTCCGATGCCGCAATGGATGCTTTCGAGCGACATGCAGTGGGGCCATTTTGAAAAGGGTGTTGCTATTTGCTGCGGGCCTTTTACTGAATGCACAAAATCTTTTTCATTTAATTTTTTTTTTAAATTCTCTCTCCTACTCCCAAACTCTATCCAGACATTCGAATTTCGGAATTTTTTTCGACTTTGAATCCGTAGCAAACGAGGCTCGATTCCGGTAATTGTTTAAATATCCCACTACTTTTAATTAGTTTTATCTACAATTTAGGTAAAAACACATGTTTAGGATTAGATCTAGCCAATTTTCGAGAAAAATAACTTGAAGAAAATTCAAGTTTCCGTGCTCTGTAGAACGGAGGATTCAAGTTTTTTGAACTTCCCGTTCTGCAGAGCACGGAAACTTGAAGTTTATTCAAGTGTTCGTGCTCCGAAGAACGGGAAACTCAAAAAAGTTTTGAATTTTTATTTTTGGAAAAATAAAATAAAATATGAATCCCTCTTGCTGTAAAACACGGGAACTTGAATAATCTTCATGTTCCAGTGCTCTGCAGAACGGAGGACTCAAAAAACATGAAGTTCCCGTTCTGCAGAACACGGGAACTTGAAAATTATTTAAGTTCCTGTGTTCTACAGCACGGGGATTCATATTTTAATATTTTTATAATATTTTTTTTAATTAATTAATTAATATGTTTATTTTTTTACATATGACACGTCAGGACAAGGGGAAGGGGATTATGGATGCTTCTTCGAGTTCGGAAAAAGTTCCGAAGATTAAATTTCGATATGACGGGGGAGGCGGGTAAGCCGGGTCTTTTTTTTAATATATATTTTTTAATTTAAGGGTAAATTACAAACATCCCCCTGAGGTATGGTCAAATTACAAAAACACCCCTCTTGTTTGGATAATTACAACGACCCCCTCAATTCCTCAAATTTAGTGGAATCTTCGAGATTATATGGAATATCATCACTTTTGTACCCGTTTTATCCCATTCGAACTCTACATTATGAAGCAAGATGATCATAATATGTGTTTTTTAGCTTGTATATGTCAATTTGTGGTGCATCGGAAATTGTATTTTTACACAAAACGAGTACAAACTAGAGCACATTCTACAGAATCTAGATGATTATGTTGAATTTGGCACCATAAGGGTGGAGGTGTAAGAAAAAATCATAGTTGAGGGGGTAGATGTAATTATCCAAACAAGAGGGAGATTTTTGTAATTTGACCATACCTCAGGGGGGTGTTTGTAATTTACCCTTAATTTAAATATCGAATTTTGTAATTATTCGAGGAACATGACAACACATATTGGGTTTATTGTACTCGTTTGCATATTCATCGTCAAATTCTTCGTCAAAATCACATCATCACCCTACCAAATAATACTAAAGGAATAAAGTGTAAAAAAAAAAAAAAAAAAAAAAGAAACAACTAAAACGTAGATTCCCGTCCTCTAGGGGAAGGGTACTTCAACTTTTTTGTTTTGTTTTATACCCCACGTGCTGCACAACACGATCCCTCCCTTCATTTTTTTTTAATTCATTTTTACCTTGTAAAAGTAATATGGATCGGCAATCAAAAAAAATGTTGTTGTTTGGTTTCGAATTTGTCGAACGACCTTCAGATTCTAAGTTTTCGACCTTTTTAAGTTGAGAGAGTTTCGATTTTTTAAAAAGTTAGAAAATTGACAAATGAGACTACTTCTGCAAATAAACCAATTTCAGTAAAAGTTCCGCAACAATTAACATTTCAGTTTTGAAAATAGATGTACCTTTTACAACAAGTGTGGAGGTAAAGAGGAAAATAATAGTCTAATATGACAACTTCTCGCTATATAGAGAAGTGTAGAGGGCAAGGTAAAATTTAGAACGGGCAAAGAAAAAACTAGAAGGGCAAAGGTAAAATTTGAAAGGTCAGGATAAATCCAAAATAATAAATGTAAAAGGTCATGGTAAATTCGAAAGAGTAAAGTAAAATTTAAAAAGGTCATGATAAATTAGAAAGGATAAAAGTAAATTTTGAAAAGGTCGGGATAAATTTGAAAGGATAAAATGAAATTTTGAAAAGACCAGGGTAAATCTAAAAGAGCAAAAGTTTTAAGCATTTATTTTCATTTTTTTTAGGGTTTTGCTATTTGTAGATGTTATTTTACTAAATGCAGCAGAATCTTATTTATTTGATTTTTTTTTAATTTTGAAATTCTCTCTCACTCTCCCAAACTCTATCAACACATTCAACATTCAAAAAAAATATCGGCTTTCAATCCGTACCTTACGACTCTCGATTACGGTAATTTTTTTTTTCTAATCCTAGTACTTCTAATCAATTATATTTAAAATTTAGTTAAAAATGTATCAGATTTAGAAAATTTTCGAAAAAAGGGGGTGTATCTGTAGAGCACGATAACCTGAAAATATTGGAGGGTATCATGCTCTAGAGCATGGAACCTTAAAAAAAGTATTAATAATGGGAGATTTTGTGCTCTAGAGCATGAAACCTTCAAAAAATTGGGGGATATCGTGCTCTAGAGCACGATAACCCCAAAAATTTGAAAGTTTCAAACTCTAAAGCACGAAACCTCCTATTTTTTTTTAATAATATTTGTTTATTAATTTCGATGTTTATTTTGTACAGATGGCAGGTCAAGGCAAGGGAAAAGCGCTTATGGGTGATTTCGGTTTGGGAAAGGAAAAGGTGCCGAAGATTAAAATTCGATATGGCGGAGATCCCGAAGCTTTGGACGGTCAACTAGCTCGCCATCCTATGACTGTATCTGAGTGGCATAGGTTAGTTAGTGAGCGAGCACCCGACGCAGCCAATTTACCCGACGTAGCCGATGTACACGATATAGTCGACAAGACTAGATCTGTGGCAGGGATTTCGAGAGCTGTGGCATGGAGTTCGAGGGATGTAGGTGGGCATTTTTGTACCCCCTACGATTGAGACCACGACCATGATGATGAGGTGTCAGATGATGACATTGTTTCTGTTGAGGCGGGCCCCGCTCGCCACCCTCGTTGGCCTCGATACGATTTCGATACTATGAAGGGTTTGATTGTGTTAGAGGATGCGTATCCAGGCGGTCCGACTGACACCAGGCTACTTTCTAGCTTTAAGAGTCATATTGCTGCCTTGTAAAGGATTTGTAAGTTTATATTTATTTTCGTATATAGTTAGTTTTTATTAATATACCTTTTTTTTTTTTTTTTTAATAAATCTACTTTCTACAAGAGCGCAATATCGGCCAATGTGAGTCTAGGATCACCGCGCTACAGACGTTTACAAAGGACATGCTAAAGAACCACATGGCACCAAAAGGACAGGACGAGTTAGAGCTATTGGAGGCATCTATCCTCTAATTACTCGAGAACTTCTACATACAGAAGGGTCTTATGCTAGCGTCTGTCGAGAGGTAGCAGCCGGAGACGAACAATTACCACATGCCGTGTTAACAGCTCCGGTAGAAGCATTAATCCAACCCTTCGACGAATTGTGGGTACTCTCCACCCTATTCGTAGACATAAAAAATTGCAAGTAATAACTAAAAGCATCAACAATATATTATAAAATGCAGAACCAAAACCGGAAATACCTATTAGTCGACGTGTTCTCAAAATGCATTTTTTTATTAGTCCATGCCTTGGCAATTTTTTCCTTGTAAATCAATCAAGTCTCGTTGATGTATGCTATCAGTTTGGGGTAACTGTTGGGTTTCGGGCACGCATACGCAGCGGAAAACAAAAATTTATGCGATTTAAACGACTTTAAAAACACATAAGAACATGCCCGATAAATTAAATCAATTAATTGCGTACCTTTGCGCTTCCAGCGAAATTAAAAACGACATACATGCTAATTAATTGAACCGAATTTAAATCAATTAACATGCTCGCAATTTAAACCAAATAACATGCTTGCAATGATTTAAAACCGATTACACATAATCACATAAAATCATACAAACATAAGCATGAAATCATAGTTTAAATTTAAACCCTAAAACGAAACTAGGGTTTCGAGTATTTACCTCTTGACGCGTGAGGTAGGAGCGAACGGTACGTCGTGATTACTACGGAAACCAATCCGTAGAATCGGGGCAGCAATGGAGCAGCAGCAGCGGCGGTGTGGCAGCTCACGGCGGCGCGTGTAGAGCACGCGCGGTCTTCCGGGGCGGCGCGTGGGGCAGCGTGCGGCTTCGGCTCGTGCGTTGCTCCTCGATTCTTCGATCTACGGTCTTCCTCCTCTCGGATTTCACCTCGTATACTTCGATCTACTAAATCGTGGCACTAGACACAAAATAGTTAGAATAAAACGGAAAGAAAATAAAGAAGAAAGAATACCGAATAAGAACCGGCCGAGGAACGGCCGTTTCCGGCGACGGAGCGGCGGTGGTGGCCGCGCGGAAGAGAGGGCGAGAGAGAGAGGGTCGGCCGCTAGGGTTAGGGTTTCTCGTGTGTGTGCTAGGGTTATAAATCATGTATTTATAGTCCCTTGCATGAAACCCTAGCGGGCTTAAGTTGGACTGGGCCCAACAGCTTAAGCTCGTTAGTTTCTTTAATCGCTCGTATCTCTCAATTCAATGATCGAAAAATTGCAACGATTACAATTTCCGAGTCATTATAATTTTCTCGTCATTACGAGTGCCATCTCTTATTTTCCAACTTTCCAAAAGTGGAAACCCTAGTTCAGTGGACTTTCTAAATTTGGAAACTTCCCGATTTAGAAAGTTCACTAACACGTTCGCTTATTCCTTTCCTTTTCTTATTCTCATTCATAATTCCAAATTACGAATGTTGGACTCAATCATATTGACTTCCAATTATGCAAAGATAAACTATTTTATCTCTGACCGTTTATTCAAAGATCTCATGTGCACGAGCAGTGTGACCCTCGATGGTTCAGGTGTAAGCTAGCCGTGGGCCCACAACCCTTTGTGGTCAAAACTCGTCCCCTTCGAGTTACGATTAAGATGAAGCTCGTTTCACCTCAATCA